TGAGCCAAAAGAAGCATTTTTAAAAAAGCTTGAAATTTATGATATCTCTATGCTATTATATAGCATATAGGAGTGTTCCGGTTAAAATCACTAAGACGAGATACCTAAACCGATAACTGAACTGTCTTGGTATTCAAGTGTACAGCACATCGCCAGTTTATATCGCAGTCTTTTCGAAATTTGTCAAGACATCAAATTAATTTCAAAAAACATGCTTTATCGCTGTGATTTTTCCTCTAGCGGATTTTCCTAAATGGTTAATTAAAAGTATAGAATTTTTCATTTTTCAAACAAATGGCAATCGATTCATTATAAAATATAGTTAATGAATCTACAATAGTAGAACAAACCTTCAAAAGATATTTGAGTACTGTCTTCTCACATTGCGACGCATAGCCTTGCAGTTTGTCTTCCAGCAATTCCATCAGTGGCTCCAACACAGCGTCCACTTCCTGTAACGAAAAATAGCCAGTCAGTTAAAAAAAAAATGGAGTCCAATGCGAAGGCAGAATTTTTTACGTGCTGTTCAACTTTATCTCCAGCGCACCGACTGGCGGTGCGAAGGTGCGTTTTTTGTATAGTTTCCCACAAGTTTTTGGCGCTAACGGCACCGGTTTTTCCTGCAAATGCGTTTAGCTGAGACAGTTGAGACTGGTCACCAGGGCTGTCTGAAAACATCCCTTTAAAATTTCAGCTTTCTAGCTTTCCTGGTTCCGAGTTAGCAGCTTACTCACAAAAAACTTTCATATGCTCGTACACAGGAACCACGCATACCCAGGGACTGGGCGTGAACTCTTTAAGACCTACGTTGACGTGGAACATCCCCTTAAAATTCTAGTCTTCTAGCTTTTCAGGTTTCCGAGTTAGCAACTTACACGAAGAAAAATTTGGCAGGCCCATATGTGGGTATTACGCAGGTAAGAGAGCTCACTTTGGAGATGGGGCCAGTATACACATTTAGATTAAGCTGCCAAAGTTTTTGTGGATCTCGAGATTAAAAATCGGTACAAACGCACAACGCACATAGAGGCACACACGCATACACAAACACACACACATATGACCTTTCGTCAATATGCGTTTTTTGTACTGCATAGATGCAAAAAACGCATAATTAAAGTAAAAGCGGCCACTGATTGTGCTAGCTCTTCTGTCATCCACTGACTGAGTTCAGGGAAAATTTGCTTGTGATTTCGGAAGAGAAGGGATATCTGGCGCAGACGTACCTTACTGCCTCAGGCTTATATTCTTAGACTGTCCTAGGAACCGAAAGTTAAGACAAACGCGACATACCCCGGCTAGCTGACTTTTCTGGAGTTGTGGCCCCTTGATTTTGGTGAGGATGACGCCCAGTTTGTTCATCTGCTCGCGTATGTTTGGCACAAGACTTTCCACGAACTGCCCGGATAATTTATCCAGAACAGCATTTAGCTTCTTTTGCAAATTATTCAACACCGTATTTGCCGACGGATCAAGATTTGGTCCACCCATATTCTCGTAGATTTTTTCCAGTTGTACTCTGAAAAATTCACTTATTTTCTCAAATCTTCCTAGTTTGAACGTTCATCGTGGTAAAATTTCTTGGGCCTTCAGCCTGAAACTGTTTTCGGACACAGATCAGGAAGAGAAAGAGCGAAACGATATTTTCGAGAAACATTTTCGATGATCTTAGAAATAAAGACAGAAGTTAAAATTCGGGTAATACATTCACATTCATTCAGCCACTAATTTTAATACATAGAGCGGGACAAAAAATACGGTTTTATCCGCGAAGATTTTCTGACCGATAGTTATAATTAGAAATGATAAATATAAATTCCAAAAGAGGTTAAACCTGAGCTGCTGCACATTGTTCATAAGTATACAGGCGAGTTTCTC